AATAACATAACTATATATAAATTAATATACATAAATACATTTATTGTTTGGCTTGCTGGTGTAAAGAATAAACATGTACACACCTGCAGGTTGTGTGAGTATAAAGCCAGTACAATAAAATGTAAGGTTAACGCCACAAGTAGGGTTTCTCAGCTATCTGCGTACATAAATACAAAGGATATTGAAGCAGTGTGTGTGAGGAAGAAATATGCCCCCCAAACACTCTGTATAAGCAAGTGCTGTAAACGATCACCTTAATGCACACTGCTACACACTGCTACAGACCTGCAGCATGTCCGTAGTCGACTGCCCATCACTTTCCCCCACAGGCGCAGGTCCAAACATAGTACACTCATATACACAACCAAAACATACACTATACTATAGTGTATAGTCGTGTGCCCATCTCTTTCCAGGCGTAGCTCCAAACATAGTACACCCATACACACAACCCAAACATACACTATACTATAGTGTATAATGCTACATACCTCCAATACATCAATGGCAGCCTTCTCGTCGCCTATCCACACAGGCGTAGCCCCAAATGTAGCGTTAACACTGAGCGCGTTCAATACAGTCACATTGACTGTATGTCCCATCCCACTACAGTACAACGGCTGTGCACAATAGGGCCATAGATAAGGACAGTCTGAGAAGTCTAGACGCGACGGCACAGTCGACAGATGTGGTGTGTAGGTGCGTAGGATGTCATGGGCACCAAATAGATTGAGCTGACCCGAACCTGTTGTGGGATTGGTACGATATGATAAGTATCTGTACACACAAACATATATACAAACACACACATACACACTCACACACACACACACATATATATACATATATATATATCTATATACATATATAAAAATTTAGATACAAACGTACATATATATATATATATATTTAATCTAATAGCAATTCATATATATATATATATATAAATATATATATTTAATCTAATAGCAATTCATATATATATACACAATTGCTTAAACACTTGCATGCTCATATATGTAAATATCAACATATTCATTTACTCGAATGCACACAACACAAACACGCGTCATACCTTGCTGAAATAGATTAGCGCCCTTGATAGGTATTGCTGATTCGATAAGTATCTGCTTGACACTCGTAGGATTGACGAGCAGTCTCTGCTCAACCGTTAGTCCACTCAAGAGTAAAGCTACGGCACCAGCCACCAACGGGGACGCAACGCTATAAATAGATTGTTGAGGATGACAGTTTCGGCATAGCATAAATCTATGTGGCATACAATACGTTAGAACTACTGTAGGAGGAGTGCATGCGCAACACTATAAATACATTGTTGAAGATGATAGTTTCGGCATAGGATATATATGTATGTGACATACAATACGTTAAAACTACTGTAGGAGGAGTGTATGCGCAACATGATAAATAGATTGTTAAGGATGATAGTTTCGGCATAGGATGTATGTATGTGACATGCAATACGTTAGAACTGCAGTAGGAGGGGTGCATGCGTTTCGGATATTTGTGCATCCAAATGCAGCTATGAAATGTGGAGATACTATATTACGTATAGACGTATACGATGTCATTGGCAGAGGCAGCGGTGTGCGTAATACAACTTTTCTTTAAAGTAGCACCGGTGAGACTGGGACTGCTCTCTGGACCATGGAGCCTCTCAGAACAAAAAGAAGGGCCGGTACTGGGACCAGCTACCAATGGCTATGCCACACTTTAAATACTGTGGTGTTTAGCTTCTGTCGGCGCAAGTTTGTGAAATGCCACAGATAGCAACACGTACGTTACTGTACTCACACGAAATAACATATATATCCCGAATGAGGAAATGTCAGAACCATTGATGAATACATGCACACACACAGCTCACCTCGAACCACTCGTTTCAGTACAACTGTCATGCATATCAAGTACAAATACGTACGAATCTTCACATTCACAAATATACATACATACAATATAGTATACTCGTGCCTATATCGTGTGTAATTATCAGTCTCAAATCACCTCGTGTCGCGCAGAATCATGCATTGATATTAGTGAGCTAATCCTATAGTCAATGTATAGTGCAACTGACATCTATACCAGGTTTAAATAAGTTCCACATACTTGCACAATGCCAGTACATACGTATATATT